CAATGCTTCCGATTAGCGATCTACAAGGGTATGTAGATGCACTCCCCTTCCCCTCGTTGCTAGATTACTCCATAGATTGATCTTGGTGATGCATAGAAAATTTAAAATTTCTGCTATGATCCCTAACACTAAGTGCCCGCGATGGAGACGTGCGACCCCTCCCCCCATTTCAAAAAGGACAAAGGCGTGGTCTTTCGATGCTTCGAAGGTTTAGTTTTGGTTTGCTTCGAGTCATAGGAAAGACCGCACTATTAAGAGGGGTTTGTGTGGATAAATATCGTGTGGGAATGCCTTTCCCGAGCCTTACTCTCTTACCCTTCCCACTCCGACCACCTCAAATGAACCTAGTGTGTGTGTTGTGGTACTTAGAAAGTTGCAACAGTAAGTTACTGGGTACCCCGTGCGCACGGGGTCTTTTGACCCCCGTGCGCACGGGGTACTGCGTAACTCTCTGGATACCCTGTGCGCACGGGGTCTTTTGACCCCCGTGCGCACGGGGTGGTGCAATTGTCTTTGGATACCCCGTGCGCACGAGACTGACTTAGCCCGTGCGCACGGGGTCCAACGGGCAGAAATCCCCACCAGCCCATGAACACTATAAAAAGGCCCTTCTTCCAGCTCCAACCCTCAACCCTAATGTCTTGTTGAGATCCACCATTGCTACACCCCATTTTGCTCAATACTCTCAATCCCTCCATCCAAACTTGTTGAAACTTTGGGGATTGGGAGAGCAAGACCCGATCTATAACTTGACCAAACCAAACCGCGTTCCCCGCAACATTTCTTCCCCATTGACTTGTTACTCTTGGAGCTTGGGCTCCTAGGCGGTTAGAGGTTCCTCCGGAAGCTTCCTTGCTTGTGGTGTGCTCCGGAGAAGTTTGTAAAGGTGTGGTGGTCGCCTTCAAGACCAACCCCGAGTGGTTCGAGGCTCATCCGTTGGGGGTGACTCGAAGGAGAATACGGTGAGCCTTTGGTGGCATTCTGCAAGCTTTGGCTCCAGCACTGCTCCAAACGGAGATTAGCTCTTCCCCAAGGAAGAGTGAACTTCGGGTTAAAATCCGCGTCCTTGTCTCACTTGTGGTTAATCCTTTCCCGCATCTTTCTTTGTTGTTGTATGCTTGTTGGCTTGCTAAGTAGTTTGTTGCCTAGCTTTTCTTCTTGGAGCTTGCTTGTCATATAGGTTGCATTCACCTAGTTGCATATCTAGTGAACTCTTTTATCCGCTAAGCCTTAAAATGTACAAGGAAGATTAAAATTTGTAGTCTCCTATTCACCCCCCCCCCCTCTAGTCGACCGTATCGATCCTTTCACACTGGCACTGGCCCAAGATGTGAACGTGAGACGTGTGGTGATGGGCTCAGATTGCTTGGAGGTGATTACTAATATTAACAAAGGAGCAGCAGCTAGATATGCATCAGTTCTACATGAAATTACACATCGATGGAAGGAATTTGGGGAAGTGTGTTTCCGTTTTGAGCCTCGGGATTCCAATTTCAAAGCTCATATGTTTGCAGAGGCCGCATCATCTCTTGCAATCGATCGCCATTAGTGGCTATGGAGAGTCCCTTATATCATTTGTATCCCGTTTACTTTGAAATATGAATGAACCTGTTTTTGAGGCATCTTCTTATTTTGAAAGTTTTTTTTGAAAAAAATGAATGTCTTTGAACAGGCAAATTTCTTTTTAAATTACTAAAAAACACATTTTTTTAAATTCCGAACAAATTTTCGAGAAGTGAGCATCTTTGAAATTATGAACATTCTTTGAAACACACTTTTTTTTGAAATGGTGAACAAATTTTGGAAATGGGAAACATTTTCTGAAATTCGGATTCTTTGTAAACACAAACATTTTTGGAAATTCCTGAACATTTTGAAACAGAGATTATTTTTTCATACAATTTTTTTTTTGAAATTCCTGAACATTTTTTAAAGCAACAACTATTTTGGAAACAAAAACATTTTGTTGAATTTACAAACATTTTTTTCTCTATTGGAAAGTGTATTTCTAAAATGCAAAGATTTTTTCAAATTTGTGAACATTTTTGTAAAAAAATGTGAATTTTAAAAATGGAAAAGGGAAAAGAATCAAAAGAAAAGAAAATAAGAAGAAGAAGAAGAAAAACACTAAAAGGGAAAACCTAGTAAAGAAACAGAACAGGCAAAACTGGTTCAGAACCTTCTAGAAGGTTACACAAACAGGATAGGAACCTTCCAGAAGGTTCACAAAACCGGTTCCTGTAGTGTGTTGTGTATTTAACAAGTGGGCCGGGCCAATGCTGATCGATCTGATGATATGTGTCTACCAGGCCGATTTTATATTTTTTTACCAGCCCGATTTTCACGTTAAGCCGTGAGCCCAACACGTGTTCCGTTAATGGTGCGAGTTGTATGCCGACGCGGTTTGGAGTGTGAGTCGGAATCGGCGAGCCCAATGAAATCAATAAAAGCACCCCAGAAGAGATGAATGATGCACACACCAAGGAAGGGATCGTGGAACCAATATCATCCGGCCGGCCCTTTCTTCCTTCTCTCGATCGGTCCTTTGGATTTGGAGAAGAGAAGAGGATCAGGATGGCATGGACCGGCAGTCGGAGTGGATCGTCCTGCGGCGCGTGCTGGCCTTCCTCAAGTCGAGGAAGCTCCACCGGGCGGCGTACGCGCTGGAGAAAGAGGCGAGGCTCAAGCTGGACCTGCCGCACCTGCACGACCTCTTCGCCAAGGGCCGCTGGCGGGCAGCGGACGAGTACGTGACGACGTTCATGAGCGGGAAGGAGAGCACCACGCCATCCGCGTCCGCCACGCTCTTCGTCGTCAGGTTCGAGCGCCTCGTCCGCGCGCTCAGGCGGGGCGACGAGGCGTGGGCCCTGCGCTACTTCCGCCGCTCCGTCCGGCCGCTGCTGCGCAGCCACCCCGACGAGGCCGCCGCGCGCGCCGAGTGCGAGAGGGCCATCATGGACCGCGACTCCCTCCGCCGCAACTACCCCGACGATGCCGCGTACAGGGAGCAGCGCCTGATCGAGTTCTATCGCCGCGTCTATCAGAACGAGCACATCTCCCGCTCCTTCAACGATATCTTTGACTACAACCTGCGCTTCATGAGGGGGACGGCCGCCATCGGCCTGCGCCGCCATGCACGCCGGACACGACGCCCACCAAGACCCGCCGCCTAAATCCATCCACAGCCGAAACAGCTAGCCTCATCCGCTCATTGCTCATCGCTCATCTCGACCCGATCGACCAGACAGCACGACGAACAAATTAATAACGCTTCTTCGGTTGATATCCATTATTAAATGTATGTAGGTAGGAGTAACTTATGATTTGTTTGTAGTACGAAACAAGTTGATGAGCTAGAAGTGCATGACGATGGAAGTTTTGATTTCCTGATTTTCAAGAGCTTCAACTTGTGTCTTCGAATTCTGAAAGTTCACCAAAGATGATTAATTATCTAAAGAGTTCTTCATCAGGTTTGGTTAACAACACCATTACATCTTTGAAGTAACCATCAGTGGTTTGCTATTGTCTCGAGGGGATAGACCAAGATAAGGGGCTGCAAAAAGAAATGGGGTTGCAATGCAAAACACTAGAACAATCTTGGGTTTTGGTGTACTCACTTTCTAAAACTTAGCAAGAAAAACCATATTTGTAAATTTTGAAAAAATATGGAAAAATACGTGTGCAAAATATGAAAATGAGAATGCCATGCTAGTTTAAGTTTCAAAACTAAAAATTGCAGCACTCTCATGATCACTTCAGTCAAAAATGGGTGTTTTTCCCCATAAATGTTCATAATTTACGAATATGTTATTTTTACAAAGTAACACGCAAATGATTCTGGTGTATCGGGGTTGCAAAAATCCGCTCTCTTATGCAATGTGTGAAATCAAAAGGTTGGTGGTTTTGTTTCAAAAATGCTTCTTGGATGGACAATCAGGTGACAGTGACACACACCCTTACGTCTTACGAGCTAGACAAGTAGGAGTATGTCTCAAGTTGTGATGTGCATGGGTTTGCTCCTTCATGTCGTTGGAGCTATTACATGATTATGTATGAACCATATTCTGTAATCAATAAAATGAAATTGAGCAGAGAAAAATGATAACATGCTAAAAAAAGGCAGAATTAAATACATGAACGAATGCCAAAATGAATTATCTCCATCGGGCAGAAATGCATAGCCATGCCTAAACCCGATCGGTTTGCAATACCCAATGGATATCCATTGGGAAGTAGTTTTCAGCATTTTTACACTATAATTTTAGCATTGATCGATAGACACAAAATTTGACCGCAAAATTAGGATGGGGCGATACCACAATATATCTCTTCAATAGTTGTTTATAGCAAGCTCTCCTAGACACTGAAATGTATTTAGAGACATTATAATTGTGCACTTTTCCAACCATCTCATGCCATAAATGTTTCCGTCCGTCCGACCTTCAGTTCTAGTCATTTCCGGCCATTTGATCTCCTCTCACTTCCACATTGGGTTCATATGGTCACCAAGGGTTTCAAGTACATGGCCGATGCTCCAGTATCAAAATCGGACTATTGGGCCTCATGAGCCTTACTTCATTGTATAAGAGAAATTTACATGAAAAAAGAACTACCGTCACATCTATTTGAGAACAATAGAACAATATACTATATGGTGTATATAAATATCAACATGAGCAAACTTACAATCTTTTGGATACATAAAAGATCACAAAATAACTGCTACAACTACTGCTATTGTGGATCTTTGCTGAATCAGAAAAAGATATATGAATGCTGCAATCTGCACTGACATGATTTAAATTGTTCAAAGGTGCCAAGTAGTCGTCCTCAAGTATTGCATAGCAACCTTGCATACCTTATTACAAGTCAATGGAGACTCGCAGGCCGTCATGAGCAAGTTGTGTCGGTATTCCTTCTCTATAATCATACAAGCTTACACATGAGACAGGGCCTTTAGGTTTAGAGAAAATAAAGGAAGAATGTAACAATTTCAGCAGCTACACACGGACATACCTGATAGACCATTCTGCCAACATCTGGTTTTCTCTCTGATGCTCAAAAAAATGCCTCATTCCAATCAACAGAGCTCTTTTAGGATGGATCCTCTTGATAGCATCAAGACTCTGCAGAAGTAGGAAATTGTTTTCATGCTGAAGAAAATGTAATTTCCCTATACAAGGAACACTTCACAGTTTTCTAAGCAAATCTGATAAAAAAAACTTCAAGACAGAATATTAGCAAGTCTTTGAAAAATAACCTCACTGAGGGTTAAATGGGTGCTGAAAGAATCTCCCTGTTCAGAACATGAAGTCTGTGTCAGACTATCAACATATTTGACAGCATTTGGAATTTAGTCGTATCAAATAATCATCAAATTTGAATTCTCTATGACGTGCAATGAGGGGTAGGCTTACAACTCCATGCAAAGAGTTTGCTTCTAGTATAAGTAGGTCAACTTGTCCAGCACCAGACTTCGAAATAGCTAGAGGCAAAGACTCAGCATCAGCAATTCAGCATTATGTTCATATGCAGGAAACAAGAAAGTCCAACTAAAAAGTAGCTAGATATTTTACCATGTGATTATGATTTGCAACCTTGTTAATACTACTATTTGGTAACTGACATGTATTAAGACTCTTGTCTCCGAGATACACACTGAAAAGTGTTACTATTGAATTCGATCAGATAAAATCACTGAAGTTGAGGTGTACACTTTTATGATTTTTGGTGCCCCACATATAGCATTTGAAATACAGCTTTAGCAACAACAATAGATAATTAACCTGCTAGATTATCAAGGGCATCATAAACAATGTCAAGAATTTTGGATGCAGTTTAACAGATTAGTAACATCTTTCTGTTTCAATTCAAACTACACCTTAAACATATGTCAGTGAAAAACGTCCTCCTGTACCGATTAACAATCCTACCATCTGTGATCTACGACAACAAGCATTCTAATTATCTGAAAAAAGTATTATGGACAAAGATTAGTTTTTTACCATGCTCGGTTTTAGGTAGAAATCTTGAGACATCAGATAAATACGCAACTCTGGCTCTCCTCCCAAATAAGAAGCCTAAACAAATATACCCTTCTCCATGCATTACCTGCGCACAGAATAGCAATCTTAGTAAGCACTCCAGGAGGCAAACACGTAACAAGATCAAAGTAATGGTTAACAGCGCTGGTTGTTACCGGCAATGGCACAAATTCTAGTGCTGATGCTACAAACGGTTTCTCAACATCATCCTGAACTATCTTCCACTCGATTTTTGCGGCTTGGGCATCTTCATCGCCATCCTCTGGCTTCTGCTCCACCAAGTAGGGGAATCTTCTCGCGATACTGTAAATTCACGGCTGTTGTTATTACGGGATATGTTCTGGTGACTAATCCGTTTTTTTTCAGCTCACTTGTAAAGCTGAAGATGAAGACGAACCTGTCCATCGTGAATTGTGTGAGGAAGATAGGAATTTTCTCGACATCGTTTCGGTCATTTCTTGGTTGTACCACCCAGACTTCGTCAAGGCCTAATACAGCATCTGCATGCTCATGAGTCAGAATGATCTGCACTGCACAGAACCCTCTTAGTCCCCAGGATCCTTAATTTTTTTCAGAAAATAATGCACTGTCGAATATCTCACCGAGTCAACGTAAGGAACTTTGTGGTGGACAAACCACCGGAGAACTTGCTCTCTGAAGGTCTTGCCGATGTCGATTAGGATGTACTTGTGGGTTCCATCTCCATGGCAATAGTCTACCAAGAGGGAGGTGTTGAGCCTGAAAACCAAACAGGCATATGAATCTTGTCACATAGTGTTGTCATAAGGATGTTCTGTTCAACCCGTTTGCAACAACTCCGCTATTCGGCAGTTGTGAGCCACTTATCTTACAAAATTAGTTAAAGTGCCCTCACAAAGTTATGTAAATATATCTAGACCATTCATGTAAAGTATGTTCGACTTTTCTAATATATCTAGAACAAAATGAGAAATTGCATTTCAGCAAACGTGAAATGCAAATTATCTGTAATATGAAGTTATCTGAAAGTCGTTGCCTGTGGCCGTACTGCGCGCACCTGTAGTTGGGGTTCCCCTCCGGAGGGAGGGAGATGCCCATGGAGCAGACGGCGCAGGGCGGCGTTGACGGCTTGAGGAGGCACCGTGCGTCGGGCAGCGCGCCGGAGCAGCCCGTGCCCAGGAAGATGAGCGACGAAGATCCCCCCGTCGGCGACTTGGAGGGATCGGGCTCCATCGATCCCCGGACGATCGAATTGGTTCTTGTTTGTCTCGTTGGGAGTTTGAGACGCTGATTTTCTCTTACGGTATGGTCCTCCTCTGTCCTCTCTTCTGCTTGTTCGGGAAAGCTTGTTTGTTGGTGGCCCCGGAAAAGCTTTGGTATTGACCTCGGCAAGTCTTCGCGCCCTTCTCTTTTCTTGAAGATTTTAATTATGCACATTGTCAAATCAGTATACTAGAGCATCTACAGCCGGGAGTCTCAAACTGCCTCATATGCCCGGGCAGGCCGCCGTCACTGTCCGGTCGCGAAATTTCGACGCAGACAGGCACCTCAAACGGCCCTTAAATGACCAGGCTGACCGGCACCCCTCATATCCAGTCCAAATATGAGGCGGATATAGGAGCGCTCGGACATGCCCCGGCACGCCCGCCACGTCGGACCCGATAGCCCGACCCAACCGTAAATTGCACCAAATCCATCCCCCGGACCTGTTTGATCCATTTGTTCTCTCCTCTCTTCTTCCTTCGCCGTGTCGTCCGTCTTGCAGCTCCGCTGCCGCGCGCTCCACAGTCGTTCCTAGCCTTTATGCCGTCAGCTCCGGCAGAGCAGTCCCCTGTCCCGTCCTCCGCCGCGTGGGACGTCATCGCTGGCCCGGACGCCACCGCGGTACGTCTGGCAACTCCCTGACTCTGCCTTGCGCTTAATGTGTTCGACACATTGTCTGACCAGATTTTTTGTGATTTTATTAGGGAACGATGGATTCTGATGCTTCGTCGGACGAGGAGTATGGACCGACAGAGCTTGATCAAATAATTCATGATGAGTTCTTTGATTCCACGAGTTCGGACGAAGAAGTGGACATGATCATGCTCATGAGCATGCAAGAAATGGACCAACAAGTGGAGCATATTCTGAACTTCAAGGGCTCAATCAAAGGAAGAAGAGTGATCAACCAGGATAGGGTGTCCAGAGCAAAGCTACTGCGCAAGCACAAGGACTACTTTGCTCCCGACCCTACTTTCACGGATGATCCATGGTTTCGTTGTTGTTTTCGCGCATTGTTGACGGAGTGGAGGCACACGATAACTACTTCAAGCTCACAAGGAATTGCTGTAGACAACTCTCTTTCTTTGCCAAGAAAAAGTGCACAACTACTCTGAGGATGCTTGCATTAGTTACTTCTTCGGAAGCCATTGGTGAGATGGTCAGGATGAGGGAGAGCACGTGCCTGAAGACTACTATCAAGTTTACCCGCGCTGTGGTGGAGGTGTTTGGACCTGAGTATCTCAAAGAACCAAATGCGCCAGATATGGAGAAGTTGTTGGCTATTGGTGAGGCAAGGGGGTTTCCAGGAATGCTCGGATCAATTGATTGCATGCATTTGCAATGGAAGAACTGCCTCAAAGATTTGCAGGGAATGTATCAATGTCACACCAAAGAGGCCACCATCACACTAGAAGCAGTGGCATCACATGACTTATGGATTTGACATGCTTTCTTTGGAATGTCGGCTTCTCACAACGACATCAACGTGCTTTAACGATCTCCGGTGTTTAGGAGGCTTTGCAATGAGGAATCACTGCCATGCAACTACACCGTCAACAACTGAGAGTACAACATGGGATACTATCTTGCTAATGGTATCTATTCTCAATGGACGGCGTTTGTGAAGACCATATCCGAACTGCATAGCAATAAACAAAGCCACTTTGCAACAATGCAGGAAGCAGCTAGGAAGGATGTGAAGAGGGCATTTGGTGTGCTTTAAGCTCGTTGGGGAATTGTGCATAGCGCTGCAATGATGTGGGAATCAGGAACCTTGTGACAACTGATGACATATTGTGTTATTTTGCACAATATGATTGTCAAGGATGAGGGTGATGGTATAGCTCAAACCAATGATTTTGAAGAACCTGGAGAACAAGTTGAAATCCCAGAAGATCAAGATGCAGCTCAGCTTATGAACTTTCTGCAGATGCATCAGAATCTTTGAGATCATCAGGTGCACACACAACTACTCAATGATCTTGTGGAGCACATGTGGACCTATAATGGAAACCAAGGAGCTAATGTTTGAGTTGTGCACTTAAAATAAATTTTATGTAAACACTATCTATGCTCGGTACCAATATTTGTTATTTACGTGCGACATTAGCTTATATGATCGACGTGCGTGGATTTGAGATTAAGAATTTGAGATATGTGGATTCCGGGGGTGAAATAGGATGGGCCACCCGGATGTGTCCGCGCGCGTGCCCGGGCGCGTCCGCGGATGTATAGGGGTTCGAATTTACCAAGTCCGGCTGTAGATACTCTTATGGGCCATCTAACGTTTTCTTTTGCTGTTGAAAGCACAGGTGCTCCCCTGGTGATTTTGGTAATTAATGTCAACATATCTTTTGTTGGACTAATATTTTCATCTAGCATATTTCAGATAAGTCCAACAGTGGAGTGACATGGACTAGAGGATGTGGAACCCCTTCAAGATGCTGAGGAAAAAGGATTGGCTCAAGATCAAAGCACAAGACTCTACATTTTTTCATTTTAGTGATTCAAGATCACATTGAGTCCATAGGAAAGCCAATACTATTAAGAGGGGGTGAGGTGTTTTTTAATGGCTTGCTTGCTCAAAGTGCTTAGTGATATGCTCCACAACCCTCAACTACTTTCTCACATCCAAGTATGTCCCGAACCAAAAGTCAAACTTGGCCCCACCAATTTTATCTATCCGGCGCCACCAAGTTCACTTGACATAAGCCACTGCCAGAAACCCTAGTCAATTCGCTCTCAACGATGGGATCTCGGTATCACCGAAATGGGCTTGCAAACTCTCTCTTGCCTATTACATCAATTTCGGTCTCACCAAAATATGTAATCGGCTCCACCGAGTTTGCCTGACCAACTCTCTATCTGGCTTATTACCAAAATCGGTTACACCGAGTTTGTGTAATCGGTCCAACCGAGATGAGGCTTTACCCTAACCCTATCACATCGGTCCCACCAAGTTGACATGTCGGTCCCACCAAAAACCCTAACAGTCACAGTATGAACTAAATCGGTCTGACCGAGTTGTATGATTCGGTCCCACCGAGTTTGGTGATTTATGTGTGACGGTTAGATTTTGTGTGGAGGCTATATATACCCCTCCACCCACTCTTCATTCGTGGAGAGAGCAAACAGAACATGCCTACACTTCCAACATACATTTTCTAAGAGAGAACCACCTACACTTGTGTTGAGGTCAAGATACTTCATTCCAACCACCTAAATCTTGATCTCTAGCCTTCCCCAAGTTGCTTTCCACTCAAATCATCTTTCCACCAAATCCTATCCTATGAGAGAGAGTTGAGTGTTGGGGAGACTATCATTTGAAGCACAAGATCAAGGAGTTCATCATCAACACACCATTTGTTACCTCTTGGAGAGTGGTTTCTCCTAGATTGGTTAGGTGTCACTTGGGAGCCTCCATCAAGATTGTGGAGTTGAACCAAGGAGTTTGTACGGGCGAGGAGATTGCCTACTTCGTGAAGATCTACCCTAGTGAGGCAAGTCCTTCATGGGCGATGGCCATGGTGGGATAGACAAGGTTGCTTCTTCGTGGACCCTTCGTGGGTGGAGCTCTCCGTGGACTCGCGCAACCATTACCCTTCGTGGGTTGAAGTCTCCATCAACGTGGATGTACGATAGCACCACCTATCAGAACCACGCCAAAAAATCTCTGTGTCTCCATTTGCGTTTGCACACTCTAATCCCATCCCTTTACATTCTTGCAACTTGCCTGATTTACTTTCCGCTGCTCATATACTCTTGACATGCTTGCTTGATATGTATTGTGAATGTTCAAACTTGTGCCAAAACTCCACTTCAACTTAAAGAAATTAAAAAGTGCAACTTTTCTTGCTAAGAGTCTATTCACCCCCCTCTAGACACCTCTTCTCGATCCTACAATTGGTATCAGAGCATTGGTTTCCATTGCTTTGGTTTAAACACCTTTGGAGGAAGATGGATGAGTCTATGTTGGGGAGTCTTAGACGTAGAGTGCCTATTCTTGATGAAGAGTATTTTCATGAGTGGAAAAATGAGATGCTTGAGATCTTCAATGAATATCATTTGACCAAGTACATTACTATTCCTTATGCTCGCATTGTTGACCCTTTGCATCCCACACCCGATGAGGACCTTGACATGATTCACAATTTTAGAACCAT